TGTTGCACACTTCTCATCTGGTTCGTACTTATGTCGAGGTTTACTTAAAATACAAAATGTATAATACCACTAAACATGCTTAAATGCCCCTCAATAGGATTGACTTTTGTTACTGCTCCCTGTTCATAGCAATCAAATTCTCTGGAACAAGGACCTTGGATGTACATCCCTAAAGATTTGTGAGTTTCAAAAAAAATTGATGATACAGAGATGTTTTAAGCTTGCACAACATGTAGGTAGTGAACCAGAGCAGCGGACTGGCTCCCAGAGGAGCATGAACTAAAAAGATCAGGGGTCTTCAGTTGAAAAGAGATTACTTGAAAGAGGATGTAACAGTGATTTATAAAAACACTAGAATCTTTCATAGCTGTTTCTTATACTGCAAGAGACATCTAATTAAATAGTTCTCTCAGAAGATCAAATCAACTAAAGTATTCTTTGCACAACATGCAATTATACTATAGGATCTTACATAGACTAAACCATATATGGTCTATATAAATAACAAAAAAGGTTGTTAAACTTTAGTGGCAGCTATCAAATATGATGGTCTCACTGCAATCTCCAAATCATGAGGCTGCTCTACATCATCAACTAATGGAAGTGAAAGGATATGCTCAGAAGTATCATTATTTACAGTTTTTAGTATTTTTCCTTAAGCAACTGTTTCTGGCCATTGTTTAAGTGTAAGATACAGGACTAAATGGACTATAGCCATCCTACTGTTGCCTGGCCTATTACACTGATGTATTTTAACAGCAACATAAACGCACATGAGTAAACAATATGCAGTAACTATGCTTTAGCTGGAGTGCAGTAATCTACTTTATGCTGAAGGAGCTCACATCTCCCAGGTCTTCTGTGCATGTTCTTCACGCTATTCACATCGGTGCCATCCCATTCTTGCCACATGAGGATATGGGGCAGAAAGCTTGGAAGTTGGAGGGTTAGAACCAAGGAAGCAGCACATTCAATGTGCATGAGAGAAAGGTGCACTGGGAGTTCAGGGAGTTCAGGGAGTTACAACTCCAACTAGTTACAGTCTCACATTAGTAAACCCAAAACCTTTAGTGTTATTTCCCTGCCCTCACTGAGTAATGTACTTCCCTGCTAAATAGTCGCGTGGAGAAACTACCTTGGAGAACAACTCACACAGCTGAACAGTAGTTACAACAGCGTACAAAACTGAAAACAAGCAGAAGGAAACGTTAAGTAATAAAGACAAGGGAGAAAAGAGTATGTTTTCAACAATATATGAAAACAGATGGAGAGTCAATGAAGCAGAAATAAAGAAGGACTTTTGGTACGGCAGGAGCTGTAAATAACAAAAAACCAGTATTATTTCTAATCTCATGAGCCAGGGTATAAATTTTAAAAGCAATAAATTTACAAAAAAGATAAGTTTTTTTCATAATTTGTAAGAATCCATACTGAGTCCTAATGCAAGGAAAAGTATACCATTAAAAAAAACCTCAAAAAAGGAGAACCCAGACAGACATATTTGGAAATAAAACATCTCTTCTTATCCCATTTGAACCAAAATTATTAAATAAAGTGGATTATCTACCTGGATGTGTTGTGCAGATATATCAGGGGATGCAAAAAACAGTTGGTTGACACCTGCAGCATCTGGAGTTGCTAGGATAACTTTTCCTGGAGTGGAATCTTGTCTGGCAAGGATCACCTTGCTTGGGGTAGAGCCATCGTGATTTGTTAAGATGAACTGCTTGCCTGCTGAGCTCTGATCAAGTGCTGTAACAATCTGAATCTTCTGGCCCGTCTGCTGATCTGTGACAATCTAATAATACATTTATCTCAAATTGTTATGGTAATTTTAGTTCACCTTTGAAGCCCAATCTGGGCACTTGAAGAAAACGGGAATTTTGCTTTTAACATTTGTGAAGCAGGATCGTCTTCCCCTCTGTCACACAAGAGTGAAGTAAACTCAGGCAAAACCTTGCATGTTCACTGTTATCTGAAACACACTTCAATCAAGGGTGTTTGAAGTCAAAACCTGAATTCATACTCAAGTTTTACAACTGGCCCCTGCTTTTACAACACTACCGAAACCCTCGACCATTCCTGCACCCAGAATTCAAGGTACATCTATAGCTCAGCCCTAGGACCTGTCAGGTTAAGTAAGCATCAAACAGCAAGAAAAGCAATAATCCTGTTGCACCTCTATAAACATTTTAGACTTCATTTTTTGGGGGGACTTTTTTTACATATATATTTCTAAACAAAGATTGTTTCCTGCAAACTATTTTTGAATTACAGATCAACAAAATAGCTCAAATTATTTTTTTTTTCC